GGCCCTTCATCCGCGGAGCAGCGGGAGGGGGCCGGGGCAGCGCGGCGAGAGCCTGGCAAAGCCCCACAGCGCGCTTCTGTCGGCGGCTCTCGGCCGGCGCTTCGCGGGGAGCCCGCCGTGAGGAGGGGTGGCTGCCCGCGCGACGGGAGCGGAGTAACGCTGTGTTCAGCATTAAAGTCGAAGGGATTAATTGAGCTCAGCACCGGAGCTTGCGGGAAAATGTGCTGCTTTAGGAAAAAAAAAAAAAAAAACACAAAAAAAAAAAACGCCCACGAGCCCCAAGCTTTTACCGGAGACCTTCAGCTCCCGCGGAGCCCGCGGTCGGGATACCCGCGGCTGTCCCGCGCAGGGCGGAGGGAGGGCGGGCTGAATTCCCTGCAGAGACCTCTTCAGTGGAGCCGACTTCTTGAGCGAGCTTAAGTTATGCTGCTTTAAATCTAAAATAAAGGCTGCCTCTTGATATTTTGCTTTAATTACCCTTTCACTTCACAGGATGGTCTCATGAGATAAAACTCAATTTCAGACGCGCCCTGACGAACGACACTGTAAAACTTCAGAGCGGTCTTGTAATAACTGTCAAATACTGTTTCTTAACGGGGCGAATTCGAACAGCATAGGACGGGGAGCTCAAGAGAGCAGAGAGCGCTACTGAGCAGGCACTTTTCCAGTGCATTGATCTGGAGAGTCTCGTAAGAGGCTGCACTTCAGACGGTCCCCTTTCAGTTGTTAAATTGAAGCATCTCAAACGGAGCTTCCCTGATAACCCTGCTCCGGAAATAAAAGTACCAGCTGTGTAAGCAATGCTAAATACTAAATGCAACCTCATTTGCTACGTATTTGCCTGAAAGACTGTAAAGTTAGTTCAAAGGGAAAAACACAAAAGAGTTAAACGGGCAAAAATGTAGCATTTTCGTTGTTTAGAGCCGCTACATTGTGGAAGAGTTTCTCTCTTTGCTGCAGTAGGACAAAATACATCAGATCTCTTTTTCAATGGAGATGATGTTTGCATGGCAGGAATCTTTTGTCTGGCTTAGCGTGTACAGTTAGCAACAGCACCATTGATAGGCTTGTGGTTGGTGTAGTAGGAATCCTTTTTTATTAGAAAGCCTTCTCATTTTGACTGCAGTATATCAGTTGATGTTGAGCGAAGCTTAAACAGCTGGAGTGCACATTGTACACCTTTTCTTTTTTTTTCTGATGAATTTGAAGTTTTCATAGGTCTAGGCAAAGAGCAGAACATCCACCAAAAAAAAAGGCTTTCTTCCTCCTTTTACAGTAATATTTGTATTTAATGTGTTTAATACAGCTGTATTTGTCCAAGGCGTGTTTCCCATCCCAAAACCTTAGAGATAAAATCAGTCTTTCTTAAAACATCTAACACGTGGTGGGAGCGTGGCAGTGAATTTTGAAGTGATCTATGTTGTATAACTCCAGTTGCCTCCCTGCCCCACCTCCCCTTGCCTCCCTGCAATTAGACAGGTCCTGCTCTATTATGGAGGTGGATGGAGTCGGCGCAGGAACCTGGTTTAAGTGTATTCATCCCTTTAACCAGGGAAAAAAAAAAACAACCAACAGAAATATGCAAAGCCACCCTCATACATTTTAGGAGAGGGTCACGTTTGTGAAAATGATATGGACGCTCAAGAATTATTTCAATGGAACAAAACCAATCTCTGTTTCAGTTCTTGCCTAGGAAGTTTGGAATCTGGGGACTGACATTTCTTCTATGGTTTAAACTTCTTGCCAGTGTAAGGCACCACTGAGATACAGATGCAATTTAGGGAGAGTGAGCTTGCCAGGAGCTAAAGTAACCTGTACTGAGCTTTGCTAGCAGAGTCTTCTTTCTCTGTCAGCAAGTTGCACCTTTACTAGAAGTTTTTGCAGGCACAAATGCCTATGATTCTACTTTGAGATATCCTGGACCATATTAATATGTCACCAGAGAACTGTGGTGTAAGACCAAGCTCCTGGATACTTCCTAGAATTTTTAAATTCCTGCAGTTCAGAGCTGCCATCCATCCATGCAGACTCCTATGTATTTGCAAACCTCTCTTTGTAGTCTTAATTTTGTTATTTAGTTCTGTTAACTAAAACAGTGGCATTTTCTATCCACATCCAGATCCATCTTAGAAACATAATTTCCAAGGCAATGGAGATGCTATTACTTTTTACCAGTTACCATGATTAAAACAATTCATAGCAGCATTTTAGAGCATCGTATCTTTTATCTCCCAGGAAGGCTGCAAAGGGCAAACAAAACTTATATCTATTTGTGTCAGGTTAGAGGAATCAAACAGATTTAGTGATTTTGATTTAGCTATCTAAGAAATTTTTGTAGTGAACTCTCTTATTTCAGAGTAAAATTACCACAAGTAGCACCTGCTTATCAGAAATAAGGAACTCTGTACAGATGTGTGTAAATATCTTATTTTGGAAGAGGGCCATCACATGCACAGGAATTACATTAAGAGTAACCTACCTAGCCCAAACTTAACATCTAATTGACATGCTTCTGCCGCTCTGAAAGTTTTGTACCAAGGAAAGATCTCTGATATTTTTAAGTCATGTAGGGCCAGGGTACCTATATGGCACTGCAACTGCACAGCTGTGTGCAGTCCCCAGGTTTTTGTATGTGACCATGTGGTACACAGTCCTACCAACAGTACTGGATGCTGAGAAAGTTATGTTAATTTAACGTTAAATTTTTCAATCTGACGTAGGAATAACTGGCACAAAAATCTGAAATTATAGAGATTCTTTACTAAACTCTTGAGGGCTTCCAGCTTAACTGTTTCATATACATGGCCTTATATAGATGTGCTTGGAAAGGGCTGAATTGATCACCTTTGTGTACAAGCAAGACTTAAGTTGCTGTGTGGTGCAGGGCAAACTCCTTTGAATCGTGTCTGCTATCCCTTTTGTTACTTGTGGAGGAAACAGGCACAGGCACTTTAACCTGAAATGATCCTTTCCTATTGCAATCAGTCATGAATGGTTAGATTTCTTTAAGTTCCTCCTCTGACAAGGTTAATTCTGTCCTAATCACGGCATCCATATGTAACCTCTTTGCCATGTATCCTGGAAACCAATAAATGTGAAAGCCAATCATTAGACGTTATATCCATCTTGCAATTCTATAGGGATATAGAAGAATTAGTCATACTCAAATGTTTTCTCCTATTTTTCTTCTCTTTTATATTCCAGCTAAAATGGAGCCTTTTGTTCAAATAGTATAATGAAAACTGTATCAGTGCATTGAAAACACTCACTTATTCAAAGCACATTCAAAATTTAGAGTTTAAATAGGAGAAGTCTTTAGCCCTGCAAAGCCCTTCATATCTTTGTTTCAACAAAACTTAATGTTTAATTTTGTCTTGTTTGAACATCCTACATCTAGAATTTTTCTTCTTCATTTGGAAAAAAAAAAAACCAACACAATTAGATGTGCTTAAAGGATGGTTAGCTCTGGCAAACGCAGCTCAGAAGAGGAAGTGGAGGGAAGTGAATTGGGGTGCATTCTGCATTGCTGTTCTGAGCAGCTTCACGTAAGCCATGCAAGATCACAGGAGATCTGTTGTATTTGCTGATTTTGGTTATTTAAGCTGTTGGCAGAATAATGCTTACAAAGAGCTGGTATAAATAAAAGATAAGAGGTGAGTAGAGAAAGCAAAAGATATATAGAATTTGGTGAGGCCAGGCAGCATGCAGATATATATGGAAGTGTGGGAGACCTTGTCTGTGCATCTTCTTTGTTCCTTCCTTCGCAACAAAGGGGACTTCTAGGCATTGATCCGTCTATGTTTACTACAACAGCAAACCAGCAACTGTGCTGAAAGCTTGCGAGGGTTAAGCAAGTGTCTCTTAAAGCCATACAGATGTTTCTGGAATAATAATTTTGTATACAAAACTATATTGAGTGGTAATTGTCAAGCCTCCAAATAAAGTACAAATTCTGAATTAATCTATATGATTTACATAAAGTATTAATTTGTAAAATTAAAAGTTTTGTAAAGAGTACTTACCTAATCAAACATAAACTAGGCCTTAAAAAGGCTCCGCTACCAGTACTGTTGAATCTGCTTTATGATCGGGTAGCCCACAACGCAGTAGGACTTTTCCACCACAGTACATGTCTTGATTAAAACCAGCAAGCTTCTCCACTAAAGATAAAACTTTACTTTTACTGCAGTCATTAAAATACCTCCAAGAAAGAACACTTAAATTGCTCAATCCCTATCAAAATTTACCAATGAACCACAACTTATTTAATGAAAAGGTAAGCATCCAATTTGCCTGGTTTTGTTACTTCAGTGTATTTTACAAGAAGTAGATTTGATACAGCAGAGATGCTAGGATTACAGGAACTGTGACATCAAAAGGGAACTTTTCAGAGGTTTAGCATTCTTGAGATACTTGTAAATAACCTCTCCAATAATTACATATCAACAGCCTTCATCTGTTCACTTTTTAGGTTAATGGATTAGAGTCTCCGTGTGTTCGTTGACATGAGGAGAGTGCACATCAGACCATTCAAAGACATGGTTAAATCAATGGGTCCATTTAAATACTTAAAGTGGAGGGGGTCTTAAAGTCTCTAGGACACCATATGCTTGCTAATTTTGCAATGTTGAGACATGAAGTAGTATAAAGGACAAAACTAAGGAGAAATTTACGGTAAAAATATTCTAAAACATTTACACATTCATAAAGGCAACATGAAGAACTTCTTCATTGTGCCATTGCTGAATAGAATGGCATGTGCTTCTTTCCCTTCACCAAAAGTCTGGATATAGCATTCATTTTTGATCACACATATAAAATGTGGAATCGCCTTATTGCTTGGTGCTTTCTTGTTGCAGTTTATTGATACACTGTGGACCCTGAAACTAAGATAACTGAATCTTTATAGTTGTTAACTTTACTCAGTTACACTCTACAACATTGGATGTGTTCAGAACAAAATAACTTTAGAAGATGCTCATTACAAATTTTACTCCGTTTCTGCCATTAATGGTAGAATAAACTATGACCCTTGATTTTTCCATTTCTTTCTTTTGTTATTTATCATTTGTCACCTTACAAAACAAATTGACAAATGCTTGCCTGTAACAGCTTACCAGTGCCTACAAAACATAAAGTTAATTTATAGGCTTCTTTATTATAATTTCTTTAGACAGGAGTCCTAGAAAAGGGCTCCAAGTTTCCATACTGACAGCCATTCTTGTTTATTGTCCAGGACTATACACTCAGAGGACAATGAATACATGAAAGACAGTTAAGTCCCCACATTCTGCATAAACCATCATACCTGCGCAGGTAAATTATATAGTCTCTCTTGAATCTTCCTAAATTCCCAGCCCTTTTTTTTTAATCTTGTGTCAAGAAATTTCAGTCTAGTCATTGTTAATCAAAAAACTTCCTTCTCTTTCTTCCCACTGCCCCATCTTCCACCTCAGTTTCACTGAAATTTGTCTTGTGTTATTATGGGAAACAGTAAATGCATATACCTCAGCTGTCTTCTTTACACCATTCAATATTGTATATATTTTTAATAGCATCTCATCTTCCTCAACTACTGTCCAAGTCAGTAGTCTGAAAAGGTTATCTTTGTCTTTGAGTCTGACTTATTTCTGCTTTATTCTGTTTCAAGATTAGATTCACCACAACTGACAGTTCATAGAATCATAGAATGGTTTGGGTTGAAAGGGACATAAAGATCATCTAGTTCCAACCCCCCTGCCATGGGCAGGGACACCTTCCACTAGACCAGGTTGCTCAAAGCCCCGTCCAACCTGGCCTGGAACACTGCCAGGGAGGGGGCAGCCACAGCTTCTCTGGGAAACCTGTGCCAGTGTCTCACTGCCCTCACCATAAATAATTTATTCCTTATATTTTATCTGAATCTACCTTCTTTCAGATTAAAGCCGTTACCCCTCATCCTATTGCTACACTCCCTGATAAAGAGTCCCTCCCCACCTTTCCACTCTTTGAGTGCGACCATCCAGCCAATTCCTTATCCACTGACTGGTTCATCCATCAAATCTATGTCTCTCTGATTTAGAGACAAGGATCTCATGCAGGACAGTGTCAAAAGCTTTGCACAAGTCCAGGCAGATGATGTCAGCTCTCTTCCCTTACCCACCAGTGCCATAACCCTATCATAGAAGGCCACCAAAAATTTGATTTGCCCTCAGTGAAGCCATGTTGGCTGTAACCAATCACCTCCTTATTTTCCATGTGCCCGAGTGTAGTTTCCAGGAGGATCCACTCCATGATCCTGCCAGGTATAGAGGTGAGACTGACTGGCCTGTAGTTCTGTACCATCAAGCAGACAGATCTATCTACAGATAATAACCCATGAACTTTAGAGTCTGACTATCTACACGTGGGAAAACTCCCCAACATTCACTATTGCAGACACCCCAAGTAAGCGATATTTCATTAGTTATCTAGGCTGGAAATAAGTCCTCTCTATATGGTAAAGAGGACTTATCATTGTACTTACTTATGTAAAGCCAAACACATTTTTTTCAGGCTGTAATCGACACTCTCACCCTGTCTCATCATCCTAAAATACTGCTATTCAAAAATTAAAAGGTCATGAAGGTGATGAAGGCAATTTCCCAGCATGCCATATAGAAATTTTTAAGATTAGCCATATTTTTTCACATTGACTTCTCCAAGACAATTTTTGTATTTGTGTTTCTTGAGTATTAGAGTTTCTTTAGGTTAGGAAGGGCCTCTGGAGGCTGTCTGATCCAACACCCTGCTTAAAGCAGGGCTAGTGACTAGACACAGTCTGAACAAACTGGTCTACAAGTTTTGAACATCTATCTCAAAGGATGGAGATTCCACAGCTCTTCTGGGCAACCTGTTGCAGGGCTTGACTGACCTGCTTAAAAATTTCTTCATAAATAATGATCATTTCTGTTGTTGCAGCTTGTGTCCCTTGTCTCTTGTCTTTTCACTGTGCACCTCTGAGAGAAGCCTGGGTCTCTTTTCTCTATACCCTCCCATCTGGTGGCTGAAGACAGTGAGTGTGACACCGAGTGGCTGAGCACACATGGCCAGGGCAGTATTACACAGCCCTGATAAGAAGTTCCTGAAAGATTCCCTGGGAGCTGCTGCCCAGCTGGGGAGCCCCAATCTAGATGTGCAGAAGGAAGCTTTTCATCTTACAAACATCACCAGTGTGCCACCTATTCAACATAGCCAGGGAAGCAGGTAACCATGAAGTTATGTACTGAAAACCTCCCCTAAGAGAATGAACAGAGCAGCTCTTTTGGAACCAAGCTTTGGAACCAACCAAATGTATATTTTATTTGACTAGCAAGTAACTGGAAAAATAAGTCAGAAAGTTTCTGCTAGTAAATGAGTGATATTTCTCTTCATCTACCTGTCTGGACCCTAATAGCTTAACCTTTTCAGTAGGTGGTTTTCGCTTTTAAACCTATGAACTAGCAGAGAGCTTCTCACCTTCTATGTGACATAAGTTCCTTCATTTGCATTCCTATTCCAGTAAAACCTGTTAACTTTTACTTTTGCCCGCTCTGTAAAGGCACTGCCTATGGAAACTAGAAAAGGTAGTAAGTAGTTTTCAAATAATAAAGAATTAATTTTAATTTTGTTTCATAACATCATCCTTGATACTTATTTATAGACAAAACTAGAGTGAAAATCATTTCATTTTCTTGATCACTTACAAGCCAAACAAGATATCACTGAAATGCTAAAGTATAGAAATGTAATTTATGCATTATACAATAAGCTAGCTTCTTGTGCTTCACTTCTGAATTGAATAACCTCACAGTTAATAGGATTACACATTATTCCAAGAACAAGAACAGGCCAGTCTTACAAAAGTGAGTGAGCCAGGAAAAGGTATGCATCACTGCCCTCATTTTCTGTTCTTCTGTGCTCTGTCATCATTTGTTCTGCACAAATGGAGTACTTAGAAATGTGGCCCCTCACCCACAGTCATTTTCTTTGGTGGCGGTAATACTGGAAGCAAACTCATCTGTGACATGAAAAAATAAATGGTCAATCAGAACATTCTGAGTGCTTCGTGTTCTCAGCCAGTCTGAGCTGTAAGTGTCTTCTGTTTAGACTGATGCTTGATTTTGGACAGAGAAGTTTTAACCCCAGTTTTTGTCCCTGTTGCGCATAGTGAGGAGTAATACCACTACCCTGCACCTGTGCTTGTTCTGGAGCACATTGCAAGGAACTTCTCTGGATAGAAATGCATAGAGAGCATGCTAGAGCTAGCTGTTGTCGTAGTTTCCTCATGTTGCTCAGGTCTTGTGCAATTTTTCTTGGAATTTAATCCCATGAGCAGTAAATCTGTTACTTGCAGATTTTCAGTTTCCACCATTTGGGTTGGGGAAGAAAAAAACAAAACTATTTAATGTAAAGACCACTGGCAACCATCTTTCAGTGGTAAATGTTGCTACAGATACAAGACAGCAAAGTTTGTTACCTATATATACGTTCTAGGTAATGGAGGAGTTTGGGGATTCCTCTCATTCCATCTTGGGAGGTAAGCCTATCCCTGGCTACAACTATGGGTGGAAAATGTAGCTCAGAATAGTTGGGGCTGTGTTTTTTTCTTTCCATGCACTACAATTTTCAAATTTAAAAAAAAAAAAAAAAAAAAAAAAAGTATATATAACCACATTAAATATATTATAAGCTTTTACTTTTTATAAGTCTTTTACAGGTAGCTTATATGCTTTGGGGATGGGGGAAAGGAACACTTGTATTCTTTCCATAACCAGAAATTTAACTTTTTATTTATAGAGACCCTTTCGTGGCTAAAATGCTCCCAGAGACTGAAGTCGGTTCCTACAGAGCAATACTCAGTATTGCAGATGTCCTCCCTCATTAGTGTCCTGTGTTACTTTCAGTCTTGAGGAGTTATTACAGGAATCTTTGTTTTAGTCTAGTCAATCTAGCTTTCTCTGACTTCAGGTCAGAGAAAAAGGTTACAATTCTGGCTGCTTTCATCAGATTTATCATGGACCCATAGCTAATTACCCCCTCATGGCCAAGATCCAGGGTGATGGCACTGTGCCCACTTCTCCAATATTCTGGATCCTCACGCTTCTTTGCCAGAAGTGGGCAGACATCACTAGCAGACCTATTTTGGTCTCCTTAGCCTTCTCTCCATTTAATTGTGTGATTGAATCATAACCCATTACATCACTTACGTTTAACAAAGGAGCTGGCTCCCAGATTTGGTTTCCCTGATATCCTCAGGCTGCTATTGTGCCTACAGCAAAGCAGCAGGACAGAAATTCTTAGGAGATCTCCCTTTGCACCAGAGTCTGGTATGAGTACATTTTCTACCCTTTCAGTTCTCTCTCTGCTCCTTTCTGCTTTCCTAACCTGACTCTAGCATTTTTGGTCCTGCCCAACGGCTTAGCAGAGGGTCCTAGACATGCAGGTCCCTGCATGACCACCCTTTAACTTTTTTGTGCAAGGTAAAGCTGAGAAAACCTTTGGTTTCTTCCATTTTTTTGTTCCTCACTACAGTGCAGGGGATACAAACCAAAGAAAAAATCCATATCACTTCCTAGTTGCCCTGGGAACATTTGTCTAAACTTGCATCATAAAACACCATTCTTTAGAGAGATCTCTCCCTGACTCCTTGAACACATTATTCAAGTGCCCATCAAGAGCACTTCCCTGGATGGCATGTGAAAGCAGCAGCCACCATTTCCAGACATTCTGCTTTAAATCTACTGGCTAGTTATTCCTCGTACTAGCCATCAAACTGTATTTATTTCAAACAGAAATGTATCTGGAGACGTATTTAGTGTTTTCTTAATATTATTCATTCCAGGAACATACACAGGAAAGTACATTCCCAGAAGTGACATGAGCAGGTATGAATCTTCCACAGTAAACAAATTATTCGGCTCTATTTCTTAACATTTACTGCAGCTATTTATGATTTAATTCTGTGCTGCAGTGAGGGAGTTGTCGTTATTTTCAGACAAGTAATTGGCCCTTTGACCATGTTAAGAACCAGTCACATTTGTTATCACTACACAAAGGTACAGTTTTTACTTTCATATGCTCTGCATTAAACACAGGTAAACATACAGAATAGGCATACTTTACATTGATACTGCCATCACACACTTTCCAAACATCCATCCACAGCATCCCTGTGCTGTAGGGATTCAGTGGGCCACCAACTGCTTTGAGCTTCCCAATACAATACAAGTCCTTCCTTACAGGTTTTCTGTTCACCCATTGGGGTGATGCTATTTCATTTCCTTCTGGAATGCAAATTGCTCTCCACACTAAACACCTTTTTTGATTACTGCTACTTTTTCTGCCATCAAAAAATACGGTAGGCTCAAATACAATAACAACAAGCCACAACCAGTAATTAGCAACAAAAGCTTAATCAGTTTATGTTGTTCTTTTGCCCTTCCCATTGTCTTAATCCAGCCAGTCTTTGTTCCTGCCTCCTTGCCAGGAAGTGTGATGTGTCTTTTGGCTTTTCTGTATGGTGCAATGCAGATCTATAACACTGTACAGAAAAATTTTATAGAGTGAATATGTGTAACCATAAAGAATGGCTGTCTCCAAAGTTAATGGAGTAGTAGAAATGAGATGTAAATAGTTCCTGAAGTGAATAGGCAGAATTGAAGGATTTTTTCCAAAGCGCAGATTCAGACAGGCTGTACTGATACTGAGCTTCAAAAGCACAGACTCTACACACTTTGCATAGCTGGAAATGGATTTCTGAAGTCATTGTTTATGTAGCTTTATATGACAAATGAGATTTGTGTATTAATTTAAAGTTAAAAATTTTTCGGGCTCTTTGAGACAAATATTTCCACGTTCAATAATTAGAAGAATGGAGAAAAAATTAGGACAAGCTTGTAGTTCTGACAGGCATCCACACCACTCATACAACTTAATCTAAAAAAACATAGTTTGTCATTTCTAGTAATGAGTCGTCTTGCAAAATGGAGGAACCTATTTTGCTCTTTTAATAACAGCTGTATCTACTTGTATGAAATCAAGTTCATTGTTCATAGAGAACAGGGGATGGAGAAGAAAACAACCTAAGTCAGATATTACCAGTGAAAGACAGTAATGTTGTTTTTTTTCCTTTTTGAATAAAGAAGAAAAGAGGAAAGGGGATTGTTTGTTTTTATTTTAGTGTTTCCTTTATATATGGAACTGACCTAACCTTGTCAGCAGTCATTTTCCATGCTAAGCTAGATGAGTTAGCATGGTGTCAACCAGATCTTTAATGAAACATAAATAGTTTTGCAAATGAAATGTTCATTTGGGGAAAGTTTATTAGATAGTTACCTATATTTGCATTCTGGGTAGATTCCTCTAACTAATAAGTTCACTAAGTTTCAGTTATTTACCTTAGAAACACATGAGTAAAACCAATGTAGTTAGATACTCTCATGTGATTTTAACATCATTTGTGGCCCTTAGACTCTGAGTGAAATTTTCAGGGGTGCTTATTTTGAGGCCAACATTGTGCCCTTTGTCAGTACTGAATGCCAGTTGTGTTCACTGGGAGCATAATGCGGCCAATAGAGAGCACATTTGTGAACCCCCCTCCTTGTCTACAAACCAAAATCACTATTTAAGAAAGGGCTCATTGTAGATGATTAGTTGAGGGAAAATATTGTAGTGAGAGTATGCAAAAAGTATACAGGCAAAACGGGTAATGCCACAAGTGGGAAAGTAATGGGAAAGTCCCAACTTCATTTGTATCTCAGAGAAACTGTAATCATAATTATGTCACTAACAAGTAGTTTCCTTTCTAAATCTGCTCTAAAAATGACATTGAAATGACTGTCAGGCCTGTCAGTCTAATGTTGGTGCCAGGGAAGGTTATGGAACAGATCATCTTGAGTGCCAACACGTGGCACGTATAGGACAACAGGTGACCAGGCCTAGTCAGTATGGGCTTACGAAAGGCAGGTCCTGCTTGACAAACCTGATCTCCTTCTATGACAATGTGACCCACTTATTGGATGAGGGAAAGGCTGTGGACGCTGTCTACCTAGACTTTAGTAAAGCCTTTGACACCATTTCCCACAGCATTCTCCTGAAGAAACTGGCTGCTCAAGGCCTGGCCAGGTGTACTCTTCACTGGATAAATAACTGGCTGGATGGCCGGGCACAAAGAGTTATGGAGTCAAATCCAGTTGGCGGCCGGTCACGAGTGGTGTCCCCCAGGGCTCAGTATCATGGCCAGTTCTATTTAATGTCTATAAATGATCTAGATGAGGGGATCAAGTGCACCCTCAGTAAGTTTGCAGATGACACCAAGTTGGGCAGGAGCATTGATCTGCCTGAGGGTCAGAAGGCTCTGCAGAGGGATCTGGACAGGCTGGAGCGATGGGCCAAGAACAATTGTATGAGGTTCAGCAAGGCCAAGTGTCAGGTCCTGCCCTTGGGTCACAACAACCCCATGCAATGCTACAGGGCTGGGGAAGAATGGCTGGAAAGCTGCCCGACAGAAAAGGACCTGGGGGTGTTGGTCAACTGGCAGCTGAATATGAGCCAGCTGTGTGCCCAGGTAGTCAAGAAGACTGGTGGCATCCTGGCTTGTATCAGAAATAGCGTGGCCAGCAGGTCTAGGGAAGTGATTGTCACCCTGCACTTGGCACTGCTGAGGTTGCAACTTGAATCCTGTGTTCAGTTTTGGGCCCCTCACTACAAGAAAGACACTGAGGTGCTGAAGTGTGTCAAAAGAAGGGTAGTGAAGCTGGTGAATGGTCTAGAGAACAGGTCTTAAGAGGAGCAGCTGAAGGAACTGGTGGTGTTTAGTCTGGAGAAAAAGGAGTCTCAGGGAAGACATTATTGCTCCCTACAAGTACCTGAAAGCAGGTTGTAGCGAGGTGGGTGTCAGTCTCTTCTCCCAAGTAACAAGCGATAGAACAAGAGGAAATGGCCTCAAGTTGTTCCAGGAGGTGTTTCGATTGAGAAAGGTTGCCAAGCACTGGAACATGCTGCCCAGGGAAGTGGTGGAGTGCCCATCCCTGGATGTATTTAAAAGATGTGGTGCTTAGGGACATGGTTTGGTGGTGGACTTGGCAGTGTTATGTTAATGGCTGGACTCAGTGATCTTAAAGGTCCTTTCCAACCTAAATGATTCTGTAATTCTATGCCTATCAAGTACTAAATATCCTCTTTTAAGAGTATTCTTCCATACTATGTTTTATCTCAGAAAACTTTAAAAAATGCAGTAACCTAAGAAAAATGAATGGCCTGAAATGTTTTGCTGTGTGTGCTATTGTATTTGGACAAAATTGTGCATATTAAGAATTCCAACATCAGTTCCAAAACCCTTCCTGAAGCAGTTCTTTCTTACACTATGTTCCACAATTCACCTAAGACATGCATGTGACACAGTTGCAACACTGAACTGCTGGTAGTGACAGCTTTAATGTGCTGTACTTTTGTTTTTACTGTTGATTTTGCAAATGTTAAAAAAAAAAAAAAGAAAAATCTGTAGAACTTTTGGTGTAAAACTGTAGCTGCTGCTGTAGCTAAATTGCTGCTAAGTGTCTAGGTGATAAAAGCCTTCTCCCACGCCTGCCACTCTGAACAACACTATTGTCAGGAAAATGTATGCATCTTTTTCCAGTAAGAATAAGGACTGTGATAACATTAGCATTTAGACAAGACACTGAGCTGATGATAGTGAAATGCATTAATGGATGTGTCACTATTTTAAAAGAGCACATCTAATGGATTGTTTATATATGCCATCTCATTGTACTTATTTATTTATTTTATAGGATATTTTAAACATAAAATTGCACAGATCAAAGTAGAACTCTCCTGTGACCTCACTTCAAGGGCCTGTGTTTAACAGAACCAATCCCAGTTCCCAACCAGTTGTGTATACCACTGAAGGAAAATGAACATACTGAACAGCCACCACTTTTTGTATTTTCTGCCTACCACACGCCTTGTCATCTTATTGGCAGCTTTGACAACTGCTGAGGATGTGACTAATAGCACTTTCAACCGCACTGACATGAACATGGGATCTGTGCCTGTGGTGATCTCCCATATCGACCATATTATAGTCAAGGAGGGGAGTAGTGCCTTGATTGACTGCAATGTCCAAGGTAGTCCGAGTCCACATTACAGATGGTACAATTCCAACGGCCGCCTTCTTCAAGAGGAGGAGAATAAAGGTAAGATCTTAGTATTATCACTGATGTAGCCTGTCCAGAAACACACCAATAACCTGAATTTCGTGGCCTGACTGTGGTATTTTCCTGTGTGAAAATATATGGCAGCCATAAATTTGTTGTGCACACCTTGGAAGAAAACAGTAACATTTTTTTAATGTGTTATTTATAGCAACACATAGCAAGAAGCTGAAGTGCTTAGCAGAAGGTGTAGGCAGGTTTCTTTTCATTGGAAGACTTTGGGTTTAATCCTATTTCTCATTCTGTCCTCTTTTGTTTTTCTCTGGCACCAAAAAAAAAAGTCTAAAAAGCTATTTTCCAATTTAAGGGAGGATTCTCTTGAGATATGAGAATAGTTTGTTGGCATGAATCCAACACAGCTAATTCCCTGATATGCCTCTGTCTTTATGCATAGGGCCATGGGAGTGTGAGAAACAGGAGATGCCCTAAATGACCAACAGAAAAACCTATATAGGGCAGCAGTCAGAAGGATCAGCCAAGTTTGAGCCTTCCTGGCTTTAGTTAAGACTCTTCAGTTGCATTTGCCAGAGACTTTAATTACATATGAGCTTGTTTTCCTTAAATGGAGAGAAGGCTAAGGAGACCAAAATAGGTCTGCTAGTGATGTCTGCCCACTTCTGGCAAAGAAGCGTGAGGATCCAGAATATTGGAGAAGTGGGCACAGTGCCATCACCCTGGATCTTGGCCATGAGGGGGTAATTAGCTATGGGTCCATGATAAATCTGATGAAAGCAGCCAGAATTGTAACCTTTTTCTCTGACCTGAAGTCAGAGAAAGCTAGATTGACTAGACTAAAACAAAGATTCCTGTAATAACTCCTCAAGACTGAAAGTAACACAGGACACTAATGAGGGAGGACATCTGCAATACTGAGTATTGCTCTGTAGGAACCGACTTCAGTCTCTGGGAGCATTTTAGCCACGAAAGGGTCTCTATAAATAAAAAGTTAAATTTCTGGTTATGGAAAGAATACAAGTGTTCCTTTCCCCCATCCCCAAAGCATATAAGCTACCTGTAAAAGACTTATAAAAAGTAAAAGCTTATAATATATTTAATGTGGTTATATATACTTTTTTTTTTTTTTTTTTTTTTT